TAGAACACACAGCACTTTCTGACACAGAAACATAGAGCTCCACTGAATGAAAACTGGGAGTCACTCAGGCTTGACTTGCTTTTAAGGTGTGTGCAGGGGTGGCTTCATGAGCATGTCCCTGCCCTGGGTTTAATGGTCTGCTCTTACAGATCAATAATTTTTGAACAAAACTCTGCATTTTCATTTTGCTCAGGGCCCTACAAGTTATGTTACTGGTTGTAGGTGTAGGTTATATCAGAAGGATGTGCAAATGGAAGCTTTAGCTATATAGTATAGAATGTGGAAGAGTTCAATGAAGATTGTCTGAGAATTCTCTTATTGTTTAGCCCATAGGGGAAAATATCTTAAAAACATTTGTGTGGTTTTCTGCACATTCTTACTCATGATCTTTAAAGTCAGTGTGATTCTCATTACCTCAAGCACTGACTGTAAAATCAGAAAGGAAAAATAGATAATTTTTTGTTCTGTTTACTGTAAAACTATACTTTGAAACCCCATGATATTTAAAAAATGCAATTGAAAGCCAAAACTTTTGATTCTGATGAGCCACATTTTCTTTGGAGACCAGAAGGCTCTTGCAAGTTAAATTGCAGGCCTTGCCCTTTGGCTCAGTGGATAGAGCGTCGGCCTGCGGACCAAAGGGTCCAGGTTCGATTCTGGTCAAGGGCACGTACCTCGGTTTCAGGCTCCTCCCTGGCCCGGGCCCTGGTCAGGGCGCATGTAGGAGGCAACCAATCAATTTGTTTCTCTCACATCAATGTTTCCCTCTGTCTTTCCCTTTCTCTTCCACTCTTTCTAAAAATCAATGGAAAAATATCCTCTGGTGAGGACTAAAAAAAAAAATAAAAAAAATACTTAAGCCTGTCTGGCATGGCTCAGTGGTTGAGTGTCAACCTATGAACCAGGAGGTCATGTTTCGATTCCCAGTCAATGCACATGCCCAGGTTTCAGGCTGGATCCCCAATAGGAGGTGTGCCAGGAGGCAGCTGATGAGTGATTCTCTCTCATCATTGATGTTTCTATCTCTCTCCCACTCCCTTCTTCTCTGAAATAAATAAAAATATATTAAAAAAAGAAAGTACAGGCCCTGAAAGCAGAGCATACCTTTATGCCCTAACAACTGAATGTTATTTTGGCTAGGAAGGGGTTCAAGAGTTGGATAGGGCTCAAACTCTCTCTCAAACTTGAGATCTCTGTGAAGCTATAGATGAGGGAGTAGATCTGCAAAAGAACACATGGAAAAGAGCAAACTCAGCATTAAGAAATGTCAACGTTGCAACTGCCAGTGACCACAGCCATATATGGGTAGGTGCTGAGTAAATAAGACAATTTGTAGATCATTTACTGTCTTTCTAGGAATCATTGTCTCTGCTACAGTCTGGTGAACTAATCTGCTTTGTGCTGCATTGCAAGAGATTTCAGTAACTGCCCACATGTCACCTTTGGATTTTCCAAAGAAGTAATGCCTAACCATGACCTAAGAATTTGCTGAGTCTCATTCAAACTGGCCTGTGTAGACAATCCTATTTTCAATGGTGGAGAACTTGGTTAAGATCCCTGGAAACAAAGACAGGGCCATTGACATTTAATAAAGGTAATAGTGATAGGAAAGGAAAGCCCCATTACCAGAACTTGAGTGGGAATGGAAAACAGAGTAAGTCACCTCTTTTCCATGTCCCCTTCTTTGCAATTCCATCCTTTGATTCTGTGAACAACCTTAAATAAACTCTTTCTAGACTAGAAGAACTTGATTTTTGTAGGGTGTACCCTAGGGATTCCAGCTGATACATAATTATATACCCCTTAGCAGTTAGTTTTGATAACACATTCACATTTATTTTATTATTTTTCAACAGTACAGTACTGTGATATCTAGCTAAGGCATATATTTTATTACACAGATGGTAAAACATTTTATTCAAGGTTGCAAAACTTTAAAGGGCAAATCCATCAATCTTAAAGTTTTCACTTTAAGAAACCTTTTCCACAATGCCATCTTTCCAATGTTATTTGGAAAGTGTGACAAAACAACACCCATCTTAGTCTAAGACTATGAAAATGCTTATAAAAACACATCTGCCCTAGCCAGTTTGGCTCCGTGGATAGAGCATCATCAGCCTGCGGACTAAAGGGTCCCAGGTTTGATTCCGGTCAAGGGCACATGCCTAGGTTGTGGGCTTGATCCCCAGTGGGGGACATGCAGGAGGCAGCCAGTCAATGTTTTTCTCTCATCATTGATGTTTCTCTCTCTCTTCCTCTTCCTTTCTCTCTGAAGTCAATAAAAATATATTTTAAAAAACACACACCTAAACACAAACTGCCGGCACTCACTTGGTCCTACCACTCATCTAAAAACAGTTTTCCTCTGCAGCAAGTCATCAACACACTGTCCTCTCTACCAGTAGTAATTTGATTCTGTGAACCACTTTTCTTCATTTGCGGTATATATTCATATGCTGCAAGGCAAATCAGGTGTCCAGCAGTAATTCGTAGTCCTCCTGGTAAGGGTTCAGCTTTGTTGTTGGGCACTTGATATACAAGACAATGCTTCCTACCTATGATCCCACATCCAGAATTTTATGAATTCTGACCTTTCAAAGCACCCAGCAGAGTTGGTTTTCTTGAGTTACTACTCTTTCTTCCTGCACTTTATTTTTTAATTATTTATTTCTGTTCACTTTGACTTTTTAAAAACAAACTCTTTTAGAATACTTTGAGGTTTACAGAAAAGTTGCAATAATACAGAAAGTTCCCATATATTTCACACCCAGCTTCCTCTATTAACATCTTACATTTCTATGGTATAGGACTCAATGAACCAACATTGATGATAAAGGATGATGATGACTATTATTAACAAGACTCCATTTACTGAGAGGGAGTGGTAAGGTTCTAGAACAAGAGGATTGAAAGATCATTGTGACCATCTTTGGAAAATACAATGTGTCAATGTGAAGTATAAGCAGACACTAATAATTTTCCCTACTATCCCTTTAAAACTGCTCTGTGAACTCATTCTTCCCTGGATCTTCAATAAAATTGCGTTCCAATCCCATACTATTGTGGACTGTATTTATCTTTATTTGGTGCCTCTCTCTGCAAAAGGATTATACATTCCTATCTTGATTGGATGTGGAAGTGGTATGTGTCATTTCAGCACAGAACTTTTAACAGCCAGCATGGGGTTCACCATGTTTCCTTGCCCTTCATCACGATAACAAGCGATGTTCCAGAGAGTAGTCACTCCTCAGTCTGGGTCCCAGAGTGAACCACAGCCACCGTCAGGCTGCAGTAAGTGTCCTCTAGCACACTGCTTAAGATGTAGAGGGCACATGGCATGTGCTCCATAGTTCTGCACTGTTGAGCTTCTCTAAAACACTAGGAATTCCTGTGGACTTTACTAATGCTCCAAAACATCCCATTTCTACTGTTCTCTTAGTCTTCATTTGCCGGGAGCCGGTCCATCCTTGCTGCTTGACACAGTCGCTGCAGGGAAGAAACATCTGCACAGCATATGTTTCAAGGGACCTGGCATATATAGCATACTGTTCTTAATATGTTTGCTCTCCTTAGCGCTATGTGTTTTAACCAAGGTCACCTCTCCGAGAAAGGTTGTTTCCCCAGGTAGGGATTTTTCCCTGAAGTTAGGGAGGGAATAAAATCCCTTAACTAAGTGCCAGGTGGGTAGTTAATCACTTTAACTAAGAACAATCACGCTTAAGCTACATAATCTTTACTCCCTGGAATGGAGATAAGAAACACCCTAACCTTTGGAATAGAAATTGACAGGATTAAGATCAACTGGTATAAATTCAGATGTAACAAGACAACAGAAGACAAAACCTAGAGACAGAACCTAGACACAGAACCTAGCGAGAGAGACAGAACCTGGAAACAGAACCTAGCAAGAGAACATAAACATCAGATCCTGATCAGATCCTAACCAGAGCTTGGCTGGAGTTCCTAACCAGAACTTTGGCTGGAGATCCTGGCTAGAGGTCCTGACTAGGCTGCTGATCAACTGAAGGCTGTCTCTGTGTCATTCCTTCTTCGCCGACTCTGTCCACACCTTTGGGGACCCCTGGACCCGATGGGGCTGGACCCCAGCATTCATTTTCAGGGTTTATGTGTATGGGAATATTTTACAAAATTTTCACCAGGGTTAATATATGGAAAGTATTTATATAAATTCAGGACCATATAACATGGCATTCCATAAATCACTGAAATTCTGTGTTGCCTGTTTTTCTGGCAGTGAAAATGCCATATTTTAAAGAGGTATTAAGAAAATACAAACTATGTATAGTATAAATTAATAAATTTTAGGGCACTATATTTGTTGGCTGCTTTGATACAGATACAATTATTTTAAAAGATCTTTTTCATTACTTTCATTCTATAACCCCCCAAAAGCTAAGGAATATCCAATATATCAAATAGATGACAAAACTATGTTCAGTCTCGGTTCTTCCACCTCATGCCCTATCTGGCATAAATATATGTCCACTGTCCTTATAGATGGATTATTTATTTTTTCCACATCCTTCTCTGTAACAGGATAAAACGAGGGATAAAAGTTATCTTACCTAAAATCACTGAGTATCTTCTTTGGATATGAAACCAGAACACCTGAGTTTCTGCTTTAACCCTTTCAGTGCCAACCAATATCCTAGGAACTATGCTAAAATTGCCAAGGCATTTTTGCTGATTTTACAGCAGTTTAGGAAAAAAATTATGAATCGCAAGTAAATGAAGTTACATATTCAAAAACTTAAGGAAACCTTTACCACATTTGTTTTCATCTTTGCCATACCTTGTTTGCTGATTGTATTATAAACTAGTAGAAAAAAAAATTTGAACAAAACATATAATGTTAAAATAAAATTAATGTTGACTTTGAATACATGAATGAAGATATTAACTTTTAATAAGATTTTGATAAAAAATCTAAAATATTTAGTATATTCTTTGAATGCACAAAAAAATCATCCTTCTAGGTTCATAAATAATTGCAGAACAAAAATTTCAATCTTTTTACAAAAAAATACTTTGAGTAGGGAGACTTTCTGGAATCACTAACAGCTGTGCTTTCCTACACATAGTCCATGAAGCCCTTTCCCACACTTAGCACACATGGTGTTGGATCGTTTTACAGGTCCTCCATCTTTGTTGCTGCATACTACACACCTTCTTAGATTTCTGCCAGGCAATTTTCGCAATAATGCATCATCGCTTGTTTCATTGGTACTGATGAGATTGAGTTATTACTCTTTTCTGCCAGCCATTCTTCCTCAATTGCCTGTATAATGGATGAAGTGAACTGGATACGGGACATAATTCTGCCTGACGTGTTCTCTTTGTATATTAGATAAGAATTTAACACCATCCTAGCAAAGATACTGAAAACCACCTTTTTCCAGTACTTCAAAGTTCTTCTTTCATCTAGGTAGGTGTAAAGCATCATATCTGATACATCTACTCCTCCCATGAATTTGTTGTACTGGTTTATTATTGCTGGTTTGGATATTTCTCTTTCTTGGGAATATCGTCTTCTATGCAATGTTTCATTCTCAACAACGGCATGGGTTGAAAGAAGCAACACCAGTTTCTTTTTAGATTTTTTCTAAATCCACACAAAAGAATCTCATCACTGCGGAAATATTTGACCTGCCCTATATCATAATCTGCTGTAATATCCTTTGGCAGGCCCCTCCTGTTAGATCTTATTGTTCCAGTGAGGTAAGTTGCATTTTCAAACAGATACTTTGCTAGAGCAATACTGGTAAAGAAGTTGTCAATCACTACATGATATCCCTTACTTAGGTAGTTCCCAAGCTGGAGCAACTTGGTCACTACTACATGACCAAGGCCTTTCTTTTTGATCTCAGCCTTTTCTTCACATTTTGCACCTTCGTAGCAGAAAAAACCTAAACAGTAATGTACAACAGAGTCACACAACATCCAACACTTTATTCCCCACTTGTGGTGCTTCTTATTTCGAAGATACTGTATTAGGGACTCATCAATGGATAAGTGCTGGTGGGGTGTGTAATGAAATCTGAACAACCTATTTGCATGCTCAACAAGGGGGATAAATTTAGAGCAGGGGTCATAATTCTGATGACCTGGTGGAAACAGTTTTTCATTGTTAACAAGATGAAAAAGTTTTAATATCAGTTGAAATCTATTTCTTGAGAACATGTTCCCAAACCATGGAATGGCTCTACTATTCCTATCCCAGTATGAGAATATGGTAGGCCTTCGTGTAATTCCCATTTCCAACAGCACAGCCACAAATGCTTTCATTTCAAGGACGTTTACAGGCCTCCATTGTCTGACTCTAAAATTGGGTGATATTTGCTCCTGAGAACGCAAAAACTGATTTCCATACCTATTAGTTTCAGCCACCATTAGATTCCACAAAGCCAAAGTGAAAAACATGTCAAAATAATAGGTTTGGCATCCTGGGGAGGAGCATGCTTCGGACCCGGTGATTCTAGGAAAGAAAGACTAGACTGCACATATAAATCTTGGCCAGGTTGTGTTTCAATAAACACAGGAAAACTAGAATTGTGTAAATCTTCAACGTTTTCACATGTGCTGTAACTGTCTGAACTTTCAATTATTACTGGGACTCGTTTACGTTTCAGAGGGACAAACACGTCACTGCAATCACTTTCCAATTCTGATTTGATGGGACATTCTTGATCACTTCCAGAGGGACACCCTTCTCCAATATCTTCCACAAAATCGTCATCTTCACAGCAAGAATTGACATATTTAGCAATATTATCATCACTAGTAAAAGCAGACTTAGAACTGGATGCCATTTTGAAGCTTTAGGGCTACAAAATCTGAGTAAACTTCATAAAATCGTAGTACCTGTAAAAAATTAGGCAGATAAATGCCAGTGGTCAATTTTAGAACTACAAACATTCGGCATCATAAGTAATCTGCACTTAGGTGTCATCTGTCAATAAAGAGTGAACTACTAGCACCTAATAGTGACACTGCAGGAGGAGGCACTTTTGGCGAAAGACAGGAGGAGCGCGATTGCGCTCCCCGGCACTCTAGGGATTAAATAAATGCTTTATCCCTCCCTTCTCATTACTTTCATTAAAAAATTCTTCTACACAACAAAGAACTATAGTACTCTGTCACAGTTTCTTTCCCCATTATAGGTGCCTTCTTGGTGAAAAATAATATCCTATTTGTATGCTGATGAGCAGCAGATAAGATTAAAACCACATAACTAAACATTTCCATACTATTCACAGGCAGTGATGCTACCAATAGGTTCCTTCATTATAGAATGAAGTTATGAAAAGGATCTTTTAAAACAGTTGTATCTTTATCAAAGCAGCCAAATATAGTGCCCTAAAATTTATTAATTTATATATTCTATACATAGTTTGTATTGAGCGTAATTAGGGTAATGGAATGCTCCATTTTGAGAATGAAGGTATGGTGGTGACGGTAGGTATTGATCAGGGAAAACAGTAAAGAAAATTATCTATATGACTGAAAACACCATCCCTTTATAATCATTGACAAGCACAGATTGACCCTATTCTTTGTTCTCAAATGCATATGGGCTGCATATACTTCCCTCTCCAGACTGTAAACTTTATGAATGCAAGAGTCATACCTGCCTTTTATATACCTAAACCAAAAACATTTCCTAATTTTAAGTGATCATTACACATTATTTGAATAATAGACTGAAAGAATGAATACCATACGAAGAACCAGTCTTTTACCTTTTTTCCAGAGAATTCTATAGATGCAAGTAGGCTCCTATCTAGTCATTGCATTCAGTTGAATCTCCAGAGTCTCCAGGTGTGGTTGGGTCTTCTTCCTAGTCTAGAAGTGGTTCTTCCTAGTCTAGAAGTGGCCTCTCCACTCTCTTATAATAACAATGGAGAAGGGACACAATAATCACAATAAATATTCCTATTGAGAAAAGAATGGAGGATATACATAGTCACTGGGCCACAGCAATGCTGGTATCCTGCTAGACAGGCTTTGTAAAGGTTCCTTACCTCTTTTTTTTTTTTTTTAAATATATTTTATTGATTTTTTACAGAGAGGGAAGGGAGAGAGATAGAGAGTTAGAAACATCGATGAGAGAGAAACATCGATCAGCTGCCTCCTGCACATCTCCCACTGGGGATGTGCCCGCAACCCAGGTACATGCCCTTGACCAGAATCGAACCTGGGACCTTTCAGTCCGCAGGCCAACGCTCTATCCACTGAGCCAAACCGATTTCGGCAGGTTCCTTACCTCTTGATTCAACCTTAATTCTGCTCTCTGGAAGGTTATCCCTTGAACATTGTCCTCTCAGGTCTTTGTCTTCATCATTTAGATTTTTATTCCATTTCTCTTTTCTATTTATGAAAAGGGATATTTAGATTTTATAGCTCATTTCTTGAAATAAGCTTTGTTAATGTCTAATAGTGTCATTATTTGGGGTATATTTGTTTGCTCTTTAAAAATATTCTTTGATTTTTAAAGGGAAAGGAACATTGAATAGTATGACATTTATAGGACAACTAGAGGCCCGGTGCATGAAATTCTTGCGGGGGGGGGGGAGGGGGTCCCTCAGCCCAGCCTACGCCCACTCGCAATCCGGGACCCCTCGTGGGATGTCCAACAACTGGCAGACATCCCTCTTGCAATCCAGGATGCTGCATGCACCAGTGACCATACTTTTCATACAGGTGAAAGGCATCTTGCTGTTGTATGGGCAGCTACCTTTTTTTGCCCTGATTATAAAAAGTAGTACATAACATGATCCTTCTGAGGCAGTAGTACTATTTTTCCCATCTTATGAGTAGAAAAACGGAAGCAGAGAGAAGTTAAGTAATTGGCTGTCACACAGTTTAAGTGTCAGAATCAGGGCTGACCACAAAATGTGCAAGCCAGAGTCCAAGCATGTCATCACTACATCATCCTGTTTTTTCAGTGTTAGAGTAGCCTTGCCAGGTTTTAATTTTTAAATCTAAGAGACTGTTCCCAATATATAGGGTAGGGTTGCCTGGTTGGCGATTAGGGCTGATCTGTTGGGTGATCGGCGGGCGGGCGATCGGGGAGCCCCGGTTGGCACCCGCCTTGGCTGGTGGCCTGGTACTGCCCGCTGGCCGGCCCCGCCCCCCACCACTCCCGGTTGCCTCCCTTTCAGGGGGCAGAAGCTCAACACAAAACCAGGGACAGCTCCTGCATTGAGCATCTGCCCCATGGTGGTCAGTGCACATCATAGCAACCGGCCTTCCGCCGTTCGTTTGGCTGTTCGGTCAAATTGCATATTAGGGTTTTATTATAAAGGATTGGAAATTTGAAGATAGAAACATTGATGAGAGAGAATCATCAATCAGCTGCTTCCTTCACACCCCCTACTGGGGATTGAGCCCACAACCTGGGCATGTGCCCTGACCAGGAATTGAACCTGTGACCTCTTGGTTCCTGGGTCAACACTCACCCAGTAAGCCACACTGGCTGGGCTATTTGCACTTTTTATTTCAACTTATTGCGGAATAATATTCATATGATAAGGGCATATATTTTTAATTGTATAGTTCAATGAGCTTTGACAAGTATATACACCACTACCTCAGCAAGACATAGAATATGTCTATTATCCAATATAGTTCCCTTTGCCTCTTTACAGTCAGGCTTTTCCCTCTATCACCACGCTATCCTAGTCCCCAAGCATTACTGATATACTGCCCTGTAAGTAAGTTTTGCTTGTTCTAGAACAGTGGTTCTCAACCTTGGCTGCACATTAGAATCACCTGGGAATCTTTTTAAAATCCCATTTCCCAGGTGATTCTAATGTGCAGCCAAGGTTGAGAACCACTGTTCTAGAATTTCATCAACTATTCAGCTAGTTTTCAAATTTCCAATTGTCCTATAATTGTCATATTATTCAACATTTTTTAACTCAAGATTCAAATATGGAAAATGATTACTATATCCTTGAAAATTTCCTTCTCTAATACCTTGTTGCAGAATCTGGGTCATTTTTCTTGTAGAATTTCTGACAGTCTAGATCTTGCTGATTGCATTGAGTGTTAACATGTTCCACTGTCCCTATATACAGATGGTATATTTTTTTAGAGACTGGATTTTATTCAGATTTGATGTTTTGGTCTCAGGCTTTTAAAAAAAAATACATTTTACTGATATTTTACAGAGAGGAAGGGAGAGGGATAGAGAGTTAGAAACATCAGTGAGAGAGAAACATCGATCAGCTGCCTCCTGCACACCTCCCACCAGGGATGTGCCCACAACCAAGGTACATGCCCTTGACCGCAATCGAACCTGGGACCTTTCAGTCCGCAGGCCGACGCTCTATCCACTGAGCCAAACCAGTCAGGGCTGGTCTCATGCATTTTTAATTGAGTTGAAGGATTACAGTAGCTTCTTTTGGTTGTAAATAACAGAGTACTGCATAAGCAAAACGGTGAGTTTTAGTGGCTCATGTAACTCATATTTTCAGGGCATATCATGGACTCAGGCTTTATACCAGAAAATCATTTGTTTTTGTTGTTTTATTTTTCTCCTTGATTCTGGTCTTTACTGAGTTTTGGCTTATTCTTGCATCCTCTCAGGTCAAGTCCATAGGAAATAAATTGATTCCTGATGGTTCAGTTTCATGTCATTGGCACTGATGGGCCTGGTTTGGATCAGATGTCCTTCTGAGCCAATTAATGGCCTAAGGAAATAGGATATTCTGATTGTCCAAATGAGTGCCCAGGTGGAAGTCATCTCACTAGAACCACATGGGCTGTTACTGAATTTAAAGATACTTTCTTTCTCTATAAACTCACTTTGGTTTACAGATGTTAACTTATTTTACATATATATTGACTAAAGCGACTTTCTACTATATAATCTTTATATGCAACAACCTTTATTTATAAACAATATTTTCACTGAAGTGATGGTGGAGTCATTACAGGTGTTTGGGGTAAAAGTTTGAGGGAAGGCCCCTTAGAAATGCTCCCCAAATTCCTCTTTACTATGTCAGGGACTACCTACTGTTTCTTATGTGACAGGTGAGAAATGTAAAGCTAAGTTTTAACAAGGCACAGGGGTGAGGGACAATGAAGGGGTGTGAGAGTGGGCGGCTGCCGGCCGGCCAGCCCAGAAAGAAAACGTGCATTTAATAAGTAACAATGAACGTGAGGTTACCGAATGAATGGAAGAGCTCAGAAGTGAAATTTGGTTTACTTTACCAAGTTATTTTTAAGGCCAAAGTATTAGTGGTTTCATAAAACATTTCTTGGAGGTGACTTACCAGCATTAGGCGGGGGTGGAAGTTTCCCGAGAAAGGCCACCGAGGCGGTCCAAGGGCCCACCAAGCCCATTTCTCCCCTCCGGGCCGGTACTTGGCGTCCTCCAGCCGTAGGCCGCTAAAGCATAGCAACCAGAGCTCCGCCCCTCCCGGCGACCAGCTCGGCGCTGCGTCACTTCCGGCCCTCGGCGAGGCGCATCCGGGTCAGGCTGAGCCTCTTGCTCTCGGAGTCTGTGACTGGTGGCGGTGCCGGCCAGCCCGCGTCCTCCCTGCCCGGAGAGACCCAGCCGCAGTGTCCACCGGTGAGCAGTGACCCGCTGCCCCGAGCACAGGAAGACCGGGAGGAGGCGTGGGGGCGGCCCGCGGCCGGGCTGGGCAGCTGCGGTGCGGGCTGGAGACTTGGCTCCTACGCTTGCTGCTGTCTCTGGGAACCGGGGGGCAGCACTGAGGGGCCTTCCGCGGACAGCGACCCCCTCCCCCGGCTCCCCTGCCCGCCCTGCCCGGGAGGGCGGAAGATGCCGGTGAAGAAGAAGAGAAAATCGTCTGGCGTGGCAGCGGCAGTAGCGGAAGACGGAGGCCTCAAAAAGTGTAAAATCTCCAGGTACCACCTCCCCCCCGCCCACCCCCCTTCAGTCTTTCCTCCTCTGCTGGGCGGCCAGAGGAGGAGGAGGCGGGTCGGGTCTCCCAGGCTCGAGCTGGGGAGAGGCGCCCCCTCCCCCCCACCCCCCAATTAAACCTACGTGGTGGGCGCCGATCGCCGCGAGTCTGCGCCGGACCCACCGCGTGTTCGGTGCGTGTGCTGCGGCGCCCGGAGGGACCGGCGGAGTCCCCCGCGGCCGTCTACGTGCCCTGGAGGGTGGGGAGACGAGTGCGCAAGGCAATCGCGCTCCGTCTCTCACCCCTACGGCCCTAACCCCTCCTCCACCTTCTTTCCAAACAGATCGCGCAGGGTCGCGTCTAGAATTCCTTCGTAGAGTGAAGAAAGGAGCAAAACAGGACAAATCTTGACCTGCCAACTGCCCTGGGAATGATAGGAAGGAAAGCTCCCCAGGTTGCAGTTGACCTCCACCTTTAGCGGTCTAACCCGGAACGTCCCGGCAGGAGGCCCCTTTCTGGAAGCCTAGTGCCTCCACCTGCGCCAAGTACCTGGGTGCCGAATGGGGAAGCCCCTGCATGCGTTTTTGTTTTTCTGGCATCCAGCATGCTGTTCGCTCCCAATATAAATATTAATAATTGAGAGCTATTGTACTCTATCCTCTGGAAGAAAAAGAAAACAAAGCAGAGTGTAGTTGTAGCTCTTTGATCCCATTGTAACATGTCGTTGAGGCATCACCGCAACATTATATAATGCAAAAGATTATTGCCATTTAGGTGTGAGGAGTGGGTTTTTTAATTCTTATGGAGTGTCTGATTGTATCTGTGGTTGGCACTTAGTGTGACAACTTCAGATGCCACCGTTAAAAGAAGACTGTAGCCAGCATTATAAAGTCGAGAGATAATAATAGAACTCTACTTAGTTATGCTTAAAATGTGAGGTAGGTAACTTACTTAGTCCGCATCTTTCTTTTTGTGATTGGTTCAGTTGGTTTTTTTTCCTTCATTAAGCTGTTTGGGAAAACAGAGCCTAAATATATTTCTTGGGCGATTCCTGTGAAAGATGATGTTTTTTTGTTTGTTTGTTTTGTTTTTAGAGGCTCCAGAAACACAGGCCCCCAGGAGGGGCCTAAATATTGATTTCAGAGAGGAAGGGAGAGGGAGATAGAAACATAAATGATGAGAATCATTGATCACCTGCCTCCTGCACGCCCCCTACTGGTGATTGAGCCTGCAACCTGTGTATGTGCCCTTGACCAGAATGAAACCTGGAACCCTTCAGTCCGAAGGCTGATGCTCTATCCACTGAGCCAAAACCGCTAGGGCAAGATTTTACTTTTCATTTCAGTTTTTTTCAAGATGATGTTTTTTTATACCTCTTGGAAACTCATACTAGAATTTGACATGGTTACTCCACTAGCTCAATTTTTATGGAACATGCAAATTAGTTCTGTATTACTCTTAACTTGTAAGTATCTTAAGTATATAATGTATCAAAATGATTTAAAGTAATTACTTAAAAAAGCCAAGCAGTCATTATAACTCAAGTGATACTTTGCTCTATCAATTTAAACTTTTAAATATGGTACCCTTATTTTACATTACTCAGTTGTAGAAATTATAGCATTTCTATGTCATTGTGGTAGTGTAACTATTTGAGCTTCTCAAGAAAAGGTTCTCTGAAGTTCATTATATCCTAGAGGCCACTTATGAACTTACTAACTTTAAATGACTTTGTGGAAAAAGAAAACAGAATCAGATTAAATAGCTTAGGCCCAATTATTTGTATTAATGTTATCCTTAGGGATTTTTTGGTTGTTTTTTTAATCTGTAGAATTTAATTAATATCCTTAGGTCCTAAATCGTCTTTTATCTTTAAATATCTACTTAAACTTGACAGATGATAAACAACTATATAGTTTAATTTTGAAATATTGATAAATTAACTATCAAAATATACTTTGTAAGATTTTGTTTTCAAATGTATATCTATTATACACAAGTACGATTTCCATGCAATTCAGAAGAAGAATTATAAAGATTTATACTTTCCAACTACCAGTTCTGCATTGAGACCATTAGGTTGAACTTCTGTGTGGTCTTGAAATCTGGGGAATTAGTTTTTGTTGATATTTTTGGAATTTGATAGTGAGCAAAGTAGCATTTGGGTTTTGTTAGCCACACATTTTTATGTATAGACTACTGTATCAAATTGCAAATACTTAACTCTATTTTTCCCCATTACACCAGCTGTAAAAAATAAAATAAAATACTTTGTTTAGTTTGAATTGACATAGATGGTATTGAACTTAGCTTTTCACTAAAAGTTGAGACTATAAAATTCTTAGGCATTTGTGTGTTTTCTAAGCTATTGCAGATCCCAACCCCCTGCTAGACTAATAAGTGGAGAGGAACATTTTTCAAGCAAGAAGTGCCTGGCTTGGTTTTATGAGTATGCAGGTAATGAAATTAATATAAGAAGATATCAGTCACATGCTTTACAACTTTCTTGGGGGGTTCATTCATTTAACAAACTATTTATTTCAGGCCTGCTGTGTGTTGGTGCTGTGTGCTGGGATCAGGGTCAAGACTGAGGATTGTGGGTAGGCTAAGAATTTGGGATCAGGGTCAAGACTAAGGATTGTGGGTAGGCTAAGAATTTCAGGCTATGTCTTTAAATATATACTTCAGTATATATTTAGTGAGGGGGCGAAACTCATTTTCTATAAATACAATTTGTAAACAGACAGATTTACTTACTGGTTTACATCCATTAGCGAAAATAGAGTTGATATTCTGGAAAACAAAGTATGTGATAAAACATTATACATAGTTTCTGTTTTTCTTTTCAATATTCTTTTGAAATTTTTTTGAACCAGAGACTGACATTTTCTGAAACTTCTGGGAGACATAGTAAAAGATTTTAAAACTCAGACATGTCATTGCACAACACACTTTTTAATAATTGCTATTTAGCTACTAACTTCTAAGAAAGATGCAAAAATGAATAAAAATAAACAGAAAGATGTTGATACAGTGTGATAAAGGTCATCTTAGGAAGATGCACTGTGAAACTTTATAAGAGGAATATGTAACCCAGCCTTGAAATACCAGGGAAGGCTTCTTGAGGAAGCTAACTCAAACTAAATCCTGTAGTGGTGGATGTAAAGCTTTTGGCTTAGGGTGGTGTGAAAGTCAAAGCTGAATGGTTAAGCAAATATATAAAAAACAAAACTTGTTTCCCATTAATTACTACTTTTTTTTTAAAACGACTTTTTTTTTTTTATTGATTTCAGAGAGGAAGGGAGAGGGAGAGAGATAGAAACATCAATGATGAGAGAGAAGCACTGATCAGCTGCCTCCTACATGCCCACTACTGGGAATGGAGCCTGCAACCCAAGCATGTGACCTGGTTCATAGGTCAACACTCAACCACTGAGCCCTATCAGCTGGGCTATTCTAACTTCTTTATAAGCATATATGAAAATTTTTTCCCATTAGGATTTTTTCATCTTTTGAAATTACTGGTTTTAAAGCTCCCCTTTCCCCTTTTTTCTTTCTCTTACCTGCCTCCCTGTTTCCCCCCTCCTCTTTTATCATTATCATTCTCAGAGTGTTTGTTTAAAATAAAACAGTGTATATGCAGTCATTGTATTATATGTAGTGTAATCAAGTTAAGGTTTCAAGTGAACTCTGAACTTAAGATATAAGTTTAGGCTGAGGGTGGGGGACAATAACTTCACTTTTAGGATCAGCTGAGTGATCTCAAAAGCATAATTTAAAATTGTTTAGTAACAGAGCAGATTCTTTCTAGACCAGAAAAACTGCTATTATTGGCATCCCAAGACAACCACTAACCCAAATTAAATGAAGGAAATTCATTTTATTACTGACCTACATTTAAAATGTTGACCCATTATTCAAAATGCCATTTTATTAAGCATGATATAAAATCAAAAGGTCACTCATTTTACTTATAAAGGTTACTAGATATAAAATTATTTGGTCATTTTTTTCTTTCATGCTTACTTGTTTTACCTCTTGTAGGGACTTTCCTGGGTAGCATAAAACTCTAGTTAAACATTTATTTCCTGTACTAGCATTTTTGTAATAGCATAATAATTGCTATCTTTATTTCAAAAATTATGCTAATTATGTAGCTTTTCCTAGTGACCATTTTGTTACTCAGTGTTAGCCCTGTTTTATAGATGAGAAAACTAATGCTTAGATTAAGTAATCTGCTTAAGATAATGCAATGATGAGCCAAAATGCAAACCTAGGTCGTTTTGATTGTAGAGCCTATGCTTTTAACTACTACTATCTCTGTTTTTTGTTTGTTTTTTAAATATGTATGTGGCAACTAATTTTCCTGTTGCAAAGAAAATATTAGTAAGTACACTTGAGGTTAACTTATCTTCTGTCATTCATGGAATGATTCATTCAAAAAATATTTTTTGAGCACTTGTGTATCAGGCCCTCTCTAAGTGTTG